AAAAAAAAAAAAAAAAAAAAAAAAGAAAATGAGCATAAGGGGAGAAAAGCCTAGAAAACCACGAAACAGATACAATTCCTACGCTGCCTACCATGTACCTGGCAGCAGCCAGCTACATGACAGAAGACTGTGGCTCAGAGCCATTCTGGCTCCAGGGCAGACAGGAGCCCTGGGCCAGGTGCTGTCCCTACCTGACTCCTTTGCAGTTAAGCTTCTAGTTCTTCATTTGAAAACTACAAACTTTATAGCCCAAAGGAATGCATGTTTAGAAGCCAATTGTCTCAATCCCTTCAATTTACAGCTGAAATAAAACAAGACCATAAGCATGTTGAGGAGAGGCAAAAGAAAAGAGAAGGTCAGTGAGGATATATGAGGATTTTTGCCCCATTTCATACTGGAAGGCTCTTCTGTGCTTGGTATTCTCCATTTTCTAAATTTTTCATAGTGTGATTCTATTAGTCCAGGATATAGTCATTATTCACTTCTCCAAATGCCACTTGGTTCCCAATACACTCAAAGCCTACATTAGCTTCAATGAGCTCCCCTAAACAGTCTTTTCTTCCCAATTTCCCTCATTTATCTCAGGCTATAGAAAGAGAACATCCCCTTTCGCCCACGTGAATGGGAAAACCCAATCTCTATTACATTGCTCCATTTATAGAAAGAGCAAGCATATACCTGGCCAGCCCTGTTCTAAGAGCTTTACAAGCATATTTAACTCTCAAAAAAAAAGTCCTATGTGGTAGGTACTATCATGATTTCCACTACAAAGATCGAAACGTTATGGACATGTTCCACACCAGTAAGCATTGGTGGGGATCAAGAAGTCCTACAATGGCTGGTTTCCAGAGAACCTGTTCTATCTCTTTGATGCCTAAACCATTTCAATTTGGACAGAAGTCAAATCCAATCAGCAAGGTCACACACAGTTCTGAAAGTCCTGTTCCAGGTTCCTGGGCACGGAGCTCTGGGGGCTCAGGAGGACCCTGATTCTCCCACCTGCCACCTGCTCTGTGCCGTGGTTCCTCACCCAGCTCCTCATTCTATATTGTTATCTTGCATCCACTGTGTTAGGAAAGCAAACCACTCATAAATCACATTCTGAATTAAAACAAAACCACACACAATGAACACCTACTATCTTCATCTCTGTCTGATCTGTAGTTCTGTCTTTAAAAGACAAACTAGAAATCATGGCAGAGAAAGCCTGTGGAAATTCTGGGATGCTCCACCACAAGGAAGGGCATAGACTTGCACACAAGGTCTTGGTGGCAACTATGTCAACTCATCAGAAACTTTCCCCATTCTTCCAGGTGTTACCAGGCAAAAGGGCCTGCAGGAAAATGAGCAAGGCACTGACTTACTAATTCACATAATCTTCAAATCAATCTCAGTCCATCCACACCCTGTCTTCATTCACATGCCCACAGGCCAAAGAACATGCCCAGAGTTACATGTACTTGCCATCCATGAGGTTCTGAAGGAAGCAATTTTTAAAAATTGGCCCAAAGAATTCCCAGATCAGGAAGCATTTTCAGGTGGCTCAGGTCTCAATTTCATCTCCCAGCTGCTCAGCATGCAACCCAACCTGAGCAGGTACATGTATACTTTTCTTCAAACAAGGGGCTCAGCCTCAACTGCTGGTTGGTGGAAATGGACACCTTCCCAGACCCAATTGTAGCTTCCCTGGGTCTTCTTTTGGCCCAAAGCAAACATTTCTGAGATAGTGACAACAGACCAGGAATGAGACATCATTACTATAACATGTTGACTTGGGAAAAGAGAAAGTAGGAGAAATAGCCCTGAATTGTGGGGCAGGAGACCTACAGTCCTCCTAATCCTTCGTTTGATAAGCTGATCCATGACTTTGAGCAAATCACTTAGTTTCTCTAGGTCTCAGTTTCCTCAGCTGTAAAGCAGGATCATACGACCTATCCTGTCTTTACCCGTGAGCTGCTGGAAGCAGATGAAACAATACCTTTCCTATCAAGCTATGACAGCCTCTGGAAGCTCTCTCATGCAGGTGTGGCCCCAGTCACTGAGAAGGTGTACCTACATTGACCACTAAGATGCAACACTTGCTTCAGGAGCTTGACTAAAACCTGCAAACAGGAAGTCCTTTCTGGGGCTGGTGGTCATGAGGCATCTGTCTCTGCTTCAGCCCTGGCTCCTATTTTTTGGCTTCTGTCTCTCTCTTAGAACGCTATTGAGATGCCCTATGAATTAGCATCAGTAGGGCAGAGCTGAAAAATATAATCCCTTCCTGGGCCACAGATTCCTGAAAAAGAAAGGAAGAAAGAAAGACTTGAATCCCATAGTTACCTTTTCTTCCTGCATGAGCTGACTGATGCCTGAAGGTAAGAAGCCAAAGGTACTTTTGACCTTAGTCGATGTCTATTTCAGTACCCACCTAAAAGTCCTCAAAATTTAAAAATTCTAAAGATTCCATCAAGTTGTCAGAGGACAGAAGCTGTGATCCCATCAAAGTTCCTATATGCTACCCTTATTGCCCTTTTGGCAAGAACTTTTGGTCTTTTTCATCCGGTTTTTTTGTTGTTAAAAAAATACAGATGTCCTGTATTTTTGTTGTTGCTTTAGATAAACAATCTCTTATGTGGCAGACAGTCGTCACATTTTCCAAATGGAAACAGCAGCTAGGCAAGTCACTTTGCCCAGATTTGCTGCTTTTCACAGACTCAGTAATGAGGAGTTTTGGCTCAATAACTCAAGACAACATACCTTGAAGGCTCAAAATCCAGAATTAGCAGAAACTTGGAGGGTGAGCCAGCTGGGCTCCTCACTCAACCAAACCTGGTTAGATCAGTAAATGCCTGCAGGCTGCTGTTTCCTCAGCTCTGAACTTTGGATTAACCAAGAAGCCAAAAGAGGCGAGGATTTAAATGGAAACTACATTGTATCATCTCACGGGGTAAAATGAGTAAGTGAAACCAAGTGAAGATGGTCTATTCTTTACAGCTCACACCTCCCCACAAAGAACTTACAATACCTGCTGTAACCCTGACTGGGGTAGACAGCAATCTGTCCCAAGTCCCTAGAAGAGGCTGTTAGTGGGCAAAGAGCCCACGTAACTAATTCTGGCCCCGTGACCCTTAGGTCCACCAACAACTCTTCAGAAAACTGCCAGCTTCCTTTCCAGCCCAAAGGCTGAATCAGGCAAAATTTAATCAATGTTCCCAGGAGCTTTTGGGCACTGTGGGGAGAAAATGGGGTGAAGATACCTGAGTCGTGGTGGACATTTTTTTTTTTTTTAACCGATGAGGGCAGCCTGAGAGTATAAAGAGAAAAGCACTGGTAGGACTCTCCCCCATAACACACATCCACCCAAAGGTGAGACCGGTACTTGTTAAAGGGCGTGTCCCTGCTCTCCGAGAATGACTGGGGTGCTCCAGCTGTTTGCAAACATATGGTCAGCATACAAAGACTCAAGACGTTATTTTGATATTAAAAATGTTAAAGACCACCAGCAGTCAATTAAGTCTTAAGATATATGAGTGTGTGTATGAACTGGAGGACAACAGAGAGCTGACCTTTTCCACTCCGCCTTTGGAGAAGGGGAGAGCATTACCTGACCAGGTCGAGGAAAGAGTCCACTGTTTCTTTGGGGATGGGCGGAGGCCCCGACTCCTTCAGGTCCAGACCGCTGGACTGAAGGGACTGCGCATCAGACCCTGGCTTGATGATGAACGCCAAGGCGACGGCGAGAGCCGAGGCACCCAGGGTGGTGAGGCCAAAGTAGGCAACGGCGATGCCGCCCAGCCTCCCGAGGGAGCTGGCATCGAGAGAGGCAGCCCCAGACACCAGGCTGCAGACCACTAGCGGCAGGATGATCATGCGCAGCATGCGGAGCAGCATCTCGCCAGGGAAAGCCAGGTAGATGACCTGCGTGGGGCTCAGCTTGAGCTTGCGAAGCGCCGCGCCCAAGCCCGCGCCCGCCAGCACCCCGGACACGGTGAGCAACACCAGCGCGTGGCGCCGCAGGAAGCCGGCGCAGCGCCGCGCGCGTCCCGCTGCGGTCCCCGGGGCGCCGGGTCCCCCTGCAGGCCCCGCTTGGGCGCTGTCTAAGTAGCCGTTGGTCTCGCTGCTCTTCTCCATGGCGCTGCCCAACGCTGCAAGCAGCGGGAGGCCGGGAACTTGGGACCTGAGAAAGACTGGTTCCCAATGAATGGATCTGGTGAAGCTAGCGGTGTCTTCCAGTTATGCCTTCAGGACAGTGCGAGAAGGGCGAGGAGAGTCGTGAGTGGTGGGTCCGACCTCGGAGTAGAGGATCTCGCCGCGCGCAGACTTCTCTGCCACCGTCTGCTGAGATGATGCAACGCGGGGCCCGCGCGGGATCACGCAGTCCCAGAAGGTGGGAGTGAGTCAGAAGCCGGCAGAGCCCTCCCCCGTCGCCACGCCCCCGGTAGCTCCGGCCAATCACAGCCAGGAAGGCGCCGCCGCGAGCCCCTCGCTCCGCCCCTCGCTCCCGCTCCGGTCGGGGAGCATGGGGGGAGGGGTTGTCCCAGCCGGGGGGCGGGGGAGGCGTGGGCCAATCCGGGTGCCAGCAGCCGCCTCGGGCCCCTGAAGCGCCCGGGCTCCTGGCGACCGCGGGGGCGCGGCTGGAGCGGACTGTCCAGGCTTGCTGGTACCTGCCAGGGCTTCGCGGAACCGGCCGGGGTTTGGGTTTTCGGAGTCTGGGTTTTCGGGGTCTGAGGGCCTGGAGAATGTGGAACGCCGCGGCGTTCTTTATCTTCGGGGACTGAGGAGGGCGCGGGGGTCTCCTCCGCGTGGCCCGCGTTCCGCCTGCCTGAGTGTTCTCTGGTGAAGGGGCCGCGCGAGGAGGGGACCCAGAGACGGTCTTCCCTCCAAGTCCTCCTGCGTAAAATCATTTCCTCCAGAGGTTTTGTGGAGTTCCGTACGGTTAAGCATGCGTGGTGCCTGCCCCGCGTAGGCCGAGGCCGGGAGACAAAAGAAGGGGGTGTGTGTGTGTGTGTGTGTGTGTGTGTGTGTGTGTGTGTGTGTGTGGATGGACGGACGAGAAGTCGAGAAGTCGCAGACTTTCACCGAGGGCTCTGGCAAAGCCTCGCGGTCATTGAATGGGGCCTCGAGGGGCGCCCAGTGTTGCGGGAATGTACTGCGCCCGCCAGGGTGCTCTCCGGCTGGTGCCTGGGCCGCCGGCGGCGTCTGCGGTACGAGGGCTGCACGCACAAAACTCTTCTGAAAGAAACGGCCCTCTCACGCCACCACTTGGGTTTGCGTTTCTGCCACGTAACCTCAGCTGAAACCAAGCCACCAGATTTTTTTTTTTATTTTTAGGTACAGTGGATCGAACTCGGGTCCTTCTGCTTGTGAGGCAGGCGGCGGAACCACTGAGCTAAATCTCTGGCCCTGCCACCAGATTTTAACCTCTTCATCTCCTGGCTCCAGTCCTGGTACAAAAACAGCTCGGGGAGGATTTGGCCAGCCTGCAAAGTGTTTCCTTATTTTTCAAGTTTCATTGATTTCCTTTAAATTTCATCTTTTATTTAATACCTGCTCTGGCCATGGAAGACATAAGGGAAACACTTCTGCAGAGTCGTTTTAGTGTGCTGACTTTATTTGTATATTTTCTCATTCTGCTTTTGATGAGTTATTTGAAGATTTCTTACGAGTAGCTAACCTAAGTTAAGGAGAAAGGCAATTTATTATTGATTACGTGCTGAAAAGGAGTCATTTTCAAACTTGTCATGACAGATATTTGTGCAAATCAAGATGCCTTTGTTGGAAACTTCAGAAGCTGTCCAAATTTTGAGACAATAAGGAGTTCTTTCCTTAAAGCTAGTCTGCTATTGCCTAGAATTTTTGGTGGGAAGGAGGTGGATGCCTTGGGTGAAGAGTTGTACATATTTTTTATCTGGTTTCTCAGGATGCAGATGATTTCCTGTGTGGACCAAAGAAAGGGTAGTTCCTGTGGACACCGGATCTGTTTTCCCATCAGCCCCTCCCTTTGTTTTGACTACCCCTTTTATGCAAAAGATATCAAATCATCCTCCAGAAATGACTTTCCAACTGCCTGCTTTACATCTGCTTTACAATTGGTTATCCCACAGTGATCTTAACTCAGCAGATTCAAAGCCAAATTTATAGTTGCTTCCCTCAAGCCTGCTCAACCGTCTGACTCCCCTATTTCTGTTAGTATCATCATTGATGGCCCAGTCACCTCTGAAATTCCACAGTGACCTTTGATTCTTCCCTCGGGGTCATCTCTCATTTGATCAGTTGCCAAGTCCCATAGACACTGCTTTCACAATACTTAGCACATCCATCCCGCCCCCTCATTTACACTGCTACACACTCAGTTCTTATTTCTGGCTTATTATCTAAGCTATTGATAAATCTTCCCATCTCCAATACTCTCTTGTTCCAAACATTCTGAATTGTGCCTTGCCTCAGGGTAATCCTGGGTGGGGGAGTGAACATGAATTCTCCCTTTAGGATCACTTTCTGAAAGTTGCAGTCATTATTCCCTTGTATTTTAGTAATGATAACTTAGATGATCACATCTATTGCAGAAGTTAGAAACAGACATACACCCAATTAAAAACTGAAGTTGATGTTACTAGAGCACGGAAAAATGATATTGGAAGACAACTCTTTCATATCACTTCTTGTTCAAAAACTTTCACTGAGTCCCACAAATTTAAGAATGTGTCCCTCACCCTATGCTGGGCATGGTGATGCATACCTGTAATCCTATCACTCAGGAGGCTGAGGCAGTGAGTTCAAGGCCAGAACTATGTGAGACCTTATCTCAAAAAGCCAAAAAAAAAGATGTGTCCCTCACCCTGGCATTCAAAGCCTACCTTGATCTGGCCTCAGCTTACTCTCCAGCCCTGTGTCCCCTAGGCATGCAACAAAAATAGAAGTGTGTTGCTTTTTTTTTTTTTGCATATCCATCCAGTCCCAGTTTAGATACCACAGCCTTCCTATAGATGCTTTGAATCTATCCTGCTCCAGCTCCGCTTGCTGCCCATAATTTCTTTGTACTGCCATACAACAGCTACCACCCCAAATGGACTGGCAGAAAACAACATGATTTTGTAGGCCAGAAATTTGGACATGGCCTAGAAGTGATCTCATCTCTGCTCCATGATGATGGAAGCCCAAGCTGGGGTGGCTTACTGGCTGCAGATGGCTGGAAACAGCTCGACTGGGGTCACATGCCTGTGGCCTCAGTTCTGGTCATCCCCTGGGATCCTTGGTCATTTCCTACATCCCATGTACTGAGGCTGGCATGTTCAGGACAGCCCTTTCATTTGCACATCTGGCACCTGCCCTAGAGGAGTGAGACAGCTGTGGCTGGCTGGGCATCTTTATGTCAATGTGGCTAGTGGCTTGGGTTTCTCACAGCCTGGCAATTTCAGTTAGTCAGAGCGAATATTCTAAGAAATCTAGGTAGAAGCTGGAACACTTTTTCTGACCTAGCCCCAGAATCCTGGAGTATCACTTTCTTCACATTCTGCTTTTAAGCAAGTCACAAAGACCGACCCAAACTTGAAGAAAAAGCATTAAACTCCACCACTCAATGCGGGAGCAGCAAAAGATTTCCAGCCATCCTTAAGCCACATATTTATGTGTTGTAGGCCAGAGCAGATATATAAGTCACTATTTCCAGACGTTTGTCAGCTCTAGTGTCTCTTTGGACAGTCTCTTCAGTTGCTGATGGAACTGGGTATGGTGGCACACATCTGTAATCCCAGCACTGTGGGAGCCTGAGGCAGGAGGATTGCAGGTTGGAACTCAGCCTGGGCAATTTAGTGACTTAGTAAGACATTGTCTCAAAATTTTTTAAAAAAGGGCCAGGAATTTAGCTCAGTGGTTCTGGTGCCTGCCTTGAAAGTGCAAGTTCCCAAGTTCGATCCCTGGTACCAAAAAAAAAAAAAAAAAACGTGGCTAGGGATATAGCTCAGTGTGAAGACCCTAGGTTCAATTGCTAATACTACAGAAAAGAAAAACAGGTAGGCATGATGGTGCATGCCTGTTATCCCAGCATTCAGGAGGTTGAGGCAGGAAGCTTGCCATGAGTTCGAGGCCAACCTGGGGTACACAGTTCAAGACCAGCCTAAACTACATAGTGAGACTTTGTCTCACACCCCCCCCCCCAAAAAAAAACAAGGTGATGGGAAAACTAGTTATCCACATGCAGAGGAATGCAATTAAACCAAAACTCAAACCATGTATAGAAATCTACTTGAAATGGTTTAAAGACTTAAATAAAAAGCCCAGAACTGTAAAGTTACTAGAAGAAAATGGGAAATCTCAGTGATCTTTGTCTGGGCAGTAATTTTTTGGATATGACCCAAAAAGAAGGCAAAAAAATAAAAATAAAAAATAGACAAATGAGATTCCTTCAAACTAAAAAGCTGCACAGCAAAAAGATCAACAGAGTGAAGAAACAACCTATAGAATGAAAGGATATATTTGCAAATTGTACATATGATAAGGGGTTCATTTCCAAAATATATAAGAAATTCAATCAACTAAAAAGTAAGAAAACCAAATAAGCTAATTGAAAAATGGCCAAAGGACTTGAATAGACATTTCTTAAAGTCATAAGTGGTCAACAGGTATATGAAAAATGCTCAATATCATTAATATTCTGGGCAATTCAAATTAAAACCACAATGAGATATGATCTCATGCATGTCAGAATGACTATAACCAAAGAGATGAAAAATGAATGTTGATGGCCAGGGATTTAGCTCAGTGGTGCTGCCACCTGCCTCGAAAGCACAAGGTCCTAAGTTCAATCCCCAGTACCAAAAAAAAACAAAACAAAAAGAATGTTGATGAAGAGTGGAGAAAGGAGACTTCACACACAAATGGTGGGAATGTAAATTAGTACAGCCATTAGAGAAAATAGTATGGAGGGTCCTCACAAAAATTTAGGGCAGTCCTACTACAGGGTATATTCACAGGAAACACACTTAACATGCTGAAGAGACATGTATACTCTGATGTCTGTTGCAGGAGTATTCACAATAGCTAAGATGTCAAAGTGTCCATCATGGATTAATAGATAAAGAAAATATATCTAGGGCTGGGGATGTAGCTCAGTGGCACCGTGCCTGCCTGGCAAGCACAAGGTCCTGAGTTCAAATCCCAATACCAAAAAAAAAAAAGGAATAAATGGTGGGGCAAAAGGCTTTGTATTTGATTTTATGCCACTGCAGAACTGAATATGCTTCATAGTGTAGCTCTATAGGAGCAGTAGGAGCTTGGAGAAAGGACGAGTCACTGTGTTCTCCACTTATTTTCTGCTAGGTCACACATGACAAATGATGCTTGTACACAGGTGCCCCAGGATTCGATGTAGGTCATGGTCACTGACATGGAGTGCAGCAGATTTTGTTCTCTCTTAAGACAGA